CCCCCCCTCCCGCTCATGTGTCAGGTGAAGATTCCGCCTCCAGCACAGTTTATAATCTCGGAAATAAACATTTATTGTGCAAATCCCGTGTTTCTGGGAGAACTCTCGTCATACGTGTGGGTGGGCAGCCTCATGTGAAGGACACGGTTAGCAGCAGAGGATGCTGGGAGAACTTCCACACGTCTTCCTATGTCCATAGCGTGGCTCCTCCTCGTCATCCTCCCACCATGCAGCGTGGACGGTGAGCAGGCAGTACAGTCACACAGGACGTTTGTATCTCTCAGCCCCTCCTCCGGGGGGCCGGACCTCTCAGGACATTGGACCGCCCCCGAGGACTCAGTACGGCTCTGCGTTGTGGTTCTTGCTCTTCTTCCGCCTGGTCCGGGCAGAGGGCGCCGGGATCTCCAGGGACTCCAGCCGGAACGGCCGTGGTAGAGGCGTGTCCGTGGACTGAACGGGGGACACGGAGATGAGACTTGACGTGAGGTTGGACGGAGACGTGTTCAGGGGGGTGTTGTAGGCCGGGGACGTGCTGTGCAGGCTTGCACTCAGGATCTGATTGGCTCGCTTGGATTTGAAGTAATTGCTGGCCAGGTTCTCGCTGTCGCTGCGGATCAGCATGGCCTTGTATCGGTCCTCCCCCTGGGAGCAGAGAGAGGAGGTCTTATTACTACACCCGTGTGCAGTCATCACGCTTAGCCGTACACGGGACAGACACACATATGACAGACGCGCGTCCACGGGAGAGACGCGCGTCCACGGGATATACACAGGACAGATGCGCGTCCACGGGACAGACACATATACACGGGACAGCCACACATATGACAGACGCGCGTCCACGGGACAGACACATATACACGGGACAGATGCGCATATGACAGACGCGCGTCCACGGGACAGACACGCATACATTGGACAGACGCGCATCCACGGGACAGACGCATATACACGGGACAGACACGCGTCCACGGGACAGACATGCATACATGGGACAGCCACACATGACAGACGCGCATCCACGGGACACACATATACACGGGACAGACGAGCGTCCACGGGACAGACACACATATGACAGACGCGCATCCACGGGACAGACGCATATACACGGGACAGACGCATATACACGGGACAGACACATATACACGGGACAGACGCATATATGACAGACGCGCGTCCACGGGACAGACACACATATATATGACAGACGCGCGTCCACGGGACAGACGCATATATGACAGACACGTGTCCACGGGACAGACGCATATACACGGGACAGACGCATATATGACAGACACGTGTCCACGGGACAGACACACATATATATGACAGACGCGCGTCCGGGTTTGTATGTTATCTGGTTTGTTCGCCGTCAATACACGGGACTCGCCACCAGAGTGCGCTTTGTCAGCTGGGTGGTGTCAGCCCTGCAATCACTATATCGCTCAGCATGCGACGTCCTCACAGCCCCGCCCTTTGTGAAGACGCTGCAACGCGGGATGGACCACAGGTGGTGACGGGGTGATGCATTGCTCTGCTGCACGCGCGTGTGGCCCTGTGTACATGGGCGCAGTGTGGACGCATGCTCCCTCACCATAACGCATGTTGTGAGGTATATTTCGGGGTCCTCAATGCTTTCTATTGGTGGTTATCCCATTTCCAGCCCATAATATACACCGGGGGAGCGGTTGCCCTTAGTAACCAATAAGCTTCTTGTTTTATGTAAGT